TTGAGCACCTATTATGCATGTATGTATAAAAGGCACTGTGCTAGGTGCCTTTTTACAAAAAAAAAAAATAGTTAGTCAATAAGCATTTATCAAATGCTTACTATCTTCCCAGTAGTGTGGCTAAACCTGAGGTTACAAAGAAAGGCCAAAAGAAAAAAAAGTCTTGGTTTTCAAGGAGTTTACAGTCTAATGAGGAAGAGAGTATGTAAACAACTAAGTACAAAAAGATATATACAGGATAAATGAAAGATTATTGACAGAGGGAAGACAATGGCACTAAGGGAGATTGGGAAGGCTTTCTTGTAGGAGGGATTTTAGCTGGGATTTAATGGAAGACAGAAAGGCAAGGATATGGAGATGAGGAAGAAGAAAATTAAAGGTCTGGGGACAGCCATTTAAAAGGTACATAGGAGATGGAGTGTCCTGTTCAAAGAATAGGACATTTGAAAGAGGCCAGTATCATTCAGTGGATTATAAAGTATATCAGGACGGGCCAGTTTGTAAGAAAACTGAAAAAGTAGGAGGGGGGTCAGGTTATGGAGGGCTTTGAACTCTAAATAGAGTATTTTATATTTGATCTTGGAGGAAATAGGGAGCCATTGGTTTATTGAATTGGGTGGGGTAAGTTGACATGGTCATTCCTATGCTTTAGGAAAAACCAATAAGACAGCTGAATGGAGGAAGAACTGAACAGAGGAAAGATGAGGCAAGGATATCAACCAGCAGGCTATTGCAATAGTCCAGGTGTGAGGTGATGAGGGCCTAGACCAGGGTGGTGAAGAAGACATAGTATCAGAGGAGGGAAAGGGAAAGAAAAGGAGATTTTATGAAGTAAAATTAATATGACTTGGTAACAGATTGGATAAAGACATTATATTATATTGGGTGGAAGCAACCCGTACATAAAATATTAAATATAAAATATATACAAAGTAATTTATGGTAGAAAGGAACTGGGGACATCTGGATTGGCTTCGTGTAGGAGGTGGCATTTTAGCTGAGCTTTGAAGAAAGCCAGAGAAGAAGTGAAGGTGGGGAAGGAGTACATCTCAGCTTCATGCAAAGCATAATGGGGAGGGGATGTTGCATATGAGGATTAGCCATTAGGCCAATGTGGTTAGAATGTAGAGTATATGAAGGCAAGTAATGTGAAATAAGCCTGGAATTGGAGGCCAGAGCCAGATTGTGAAGAAATATAGAAGTTGAACAGGGATTTGTATTTTATCTTACAGGAAAGATGGAGCCATTGAAGCTTCTTGAACAGGGGAGTCATGTGGTCAGACCTTTAGTAATATCAATTTTTCAGTCATGTGAAATAAAGAAGATTCAGGGAGACAAAGTAGAAGTTATTGCAGTAGTTCAAGTAAGAGGTGATGAGAGCCTAAATCAGGGTGGTGATGATGATGTGAGTAGAGAGAAGGGGATAGACTCAGTGTGGAAGTAAAATTGACAACACTTGGCAAGTGATTGAATATGAGGGGTGATGATGAGTGGAAAGTGGAAATGTCTCTGAGGTTTTGAACCCAAGTGGCTGGAAGAATAATGGTACACTCAGTAGAAGCAAAGAAATTAGGAAGAGAGGAGGATTAGGGTGGAGTGGGGTGGGGAAAGAGAAGACAATGAGCTATGTTTTGGACATGTTGAGTTTGAGATATCCACTTGAAAATATCCAGTTAGCAGATGGTGATGTAGGATTGGAGCTCAAGAAAGATTCTAAGACTAGATACATAGATAGACCTGGGAATTTCTGCAGAGAGGTAATAGTTGAACCCATGGGGATGGATCAGCAAGAGACGAGGGGCTGGGGTAGAGCTGTGTGATCAGCTCACACATACCAGATGGGATGTGGATGATGACCTAGCAAAGCAGACTGAAAGCAAGCAAGCAGACATGTAGGATAACCAGGAAAACCCAGGGAAGACAATTTCTAGATCTAGGGGGAGGAAGCAGTCATACTGTCAGATGCTATAGAGGAAGCAAGAGGAATAAGAACTGAGAAAAGGCTTTCGTATTTGGTAGATAGGTGGTTACATTGGGTTCCCACTACTTCAAGGTCTTTACGCAAAGGCTTCATGACCACTTTTTAGGCATCTTGCAAGAAAGAATTTTGTTCAGGGATGGTTTGGACTTCTAAGGTCCTTTCCAACTCATAGAGCTGTGCTTCTGCTTACAAAGTATATGACCATTTATAGGTCCTCCAAAAAAAAGTGTTTGCTGTGTTTTGACTTTATGATATATTCATTTTTGGTTAGTTTTTCCAAGTTGGAGTGTTTTTCAATTTAGGGATTTGGCTTATATTCTTCTGATTTGTTGCTTGTATAGTAAACAAAGTACAAACTCTAATTCTTATCGAATAACATGAGTTACATTTTACCTAGGTAATAATCCACTCACTGAATTGGGGGTTTGAAAATGCTCTTCATTTCAAAAGAAGGAAAGATCACTTCTGCTTGAGTGAAAGGGAAGTTTTCATGGAGGATTTCCAATATGAACTGGACCTTGAAGGATAGGCAGGATTTATAGGTGATAGAATTTGTGAATAGGGAATTCCAGGTATGTATGTATGGGTAAGTTTGGGAAATACTTTCACCATCATAAGAAATATTTTGAATTTAACTACTATTCATTATCCTAACTGTACCTATTTGCCAATGACATTTCCTCTTCTATGGCTTTCTCTTTATATGTCATTTAGCTCTTAAAAAAAACTCCACATCCTTCTCTTGTCCATTTTCTTTCATTTTCTTTTTATGTCAAAAGCTTAATTGCTTCCTGTGTTCCTTGTCAGTGTGCACCTGCAGTTTCATGAAAATGATTATAGTTGTGTAGTGTTGTATAAAGTGTATATGATTGGATTTAAATATGACAGGCAATGGGAATTATAAAGCACAGAACAATTTATAGAAAAGCATTATCGACAGTAAGGCAGACATCTTTTTCAGTGGAAAGGAACTGCTTTGAAAAAGAACAGGAACATAGGCTGTGGGAGAAAACACCTAAAAAACATAGTCCAATTAGCCCGATAAATTGGAACCCGAAACCCACATTTTAGGGCAGAAATTGAGGGACAACCACAGCAGAGGTCTGATAAGACTCATTTTGTACCTGTGATATTCCCCTAGTCAAGGCTTGTTTCCTTTTTCGTTTTTGTAACCCCAGCTCACAGCCCAACACTGGGATCATAAATGTGTGTTTAATTGCTGCTGTTGATGCAACTCTATCTTCTGTTGCTGAGTTATAAACAACTTCTTCCTTGGCTTTTGTGATGTTTCTTTAATTCCTATCAGTGCTGGGCCCTGGAAGAGGAGTTAAAAGGCATACAATGGAATAGCGCTCCCAGTACCCCATACTTTATAGGAACTACCTAAATTATAGGCAAAATCAACTTCAGTCAGTCAATAAACATTTATTTAGCCCTTACTGTGTACCAGGCACTGTGCTAAGCACTGGAGATACAAAATGAGCCAAAGACAGCTCCTGCCCTCAAGGAGTTTACAACCTGATGGATTTATAAGATTCTTTTGGTATTTCACCAACTAAAAGTCTTTGGATAGAATCTAAGATGAATCCTCTTTGCACCAAATTCCCCTTGAAAAGGGGATTAATTGTGCCTCTTTTCAGTGATTCAGGTAAGTGGTGGAAGGTAGTTGTGTTGGAAATGTCAAACAGGATCTCAGATCTATTACTATTTTGGAGGATAACTATAAGAAAGTTCCTCCAGTACTTGAAGATGGGTAAATTTCATTGGTGTGGGCACCTCCTCTTCCCTTAGAACCACAGCCCCTGCATAATTTTATAGCTTGTCTTCAAAAATTACTCCTGCCAAAGCATTCATCACCTTGCTGCTGGCCAGGTTTAGGTAGGTGGCCCACTGTCAGCCAGGTTTAGGTAGGTGCTCCAAAGTCCCTCCACTCTGGTAGCTGGAGCCCCTGTTGACCTTTAAGAATCCAGGGTCGACTCCATGAAGGAACAAAAAAAATCAAGGAAAGAGGCTATGAAAACACTTAAAGCCAGTTGTTGATAAGGTGAATTGTAGCTAAAGGAGTCGAGCCAAAGAGAATTTTTTCTCCGATTAAGTAAGAAAAAGAAAGAAAGAAAAAAAACACTTGATGTCTGGGGTTGATTACTGAGTTCGAATTTTGTCTCAGGCATTTACTATCTGGGTGATACTGGGCAAGTCAATTTAACGTCTCCGCCTGCCTCAGTTTCCTCGTCTGTAAAATGGGGGTGATCGTAACCCCTCCCTCCCAGGGTTGTTGTGAAGATCAGACGAGTTGACATGAGTAGATAGGAGCTCTGTAACCTTAAAGCCCTATGTACACTATTATTCTCATGAAATTTGCTAATCGCCGCCAGTCCAGAGCAAAGCACAAAGTTAAGTCGGGCGGATCGGATCGGAAAAGAAGATGCTTTGTAATCCCACGCAGGAGGCGCGGACGAGCGGGAGGGACACAGGCAGCCCCGGGGAGCAGAGGATGTGGCTTCATGAAAGGCGCACCTGGCCCCCGAAAGGCGGAACCTTCCGTTTTAGGAATCCTCGGAGGTGGGGTGGGGGGCGCGAAAGGCGCTAAGTGGGTTTCCTCGCCCTTCTTTGAAGGCAAAGAAGTCCTAAGAACCCTTATTTAAATAAGCGGGAGAGGCGGTTAACCGCCACCATCTCGCTCCTCGCACCTCTCTCCGCCTCCCTTCGCACGGTAGGCGCAGCTCCCGCCCGCGGTGTCGGCGCCCGAGAAAGGCCCGCGCGCTAGGGGAGCCGGGGACTCCGAACCACGGTCACCGTTCCTGGGCCAAGGTCTCCGCGGCGGGGGAGAAGCATGAGGGGAGGGCAGAGGGGAATGGGATGGAAAGGGGAGGCTTTGGACGAACAGCCCGGTAAGCCAATAGAAGGGCAGGGCTGTCACCATGCCGGCCAATAGGAGCAGGAATCCCAGCAGGAGGCGTGGCCGGCAAGGCCAGGGCTAGATTAGGATCCCCGGCGGGCGGCTGCCGGGATTCAGAGTCCCGAGGGCGGGGGAGGAGGGAAGACCGGAAGCTGTAGTCCCCCAGTCACCCCCCCCACCAAAGTCCCGTCGCGTCCCCTGGGGCTAGGAGAGGAGGAGGAGGAGGAGGAGGAGAAGAAGAAGGAGGAGGCCGCTCGGGTCGGTTGGCGCCGGTAACCAGGGGGAGCGGTCTCTCAGGAGGCAGACTCCTCCCGGGGCGTCCCCCTCCCTCTCTCCGCCCCCACCCCTCTCCATCCTCCGGCCGCTCGCTTGCTCGCTCCCTTTGCCGCCCTCTCGTGCGAATCCCTTTGGGCTGCGCGCTCCGACGGCAGCGGCGGCGGCGAGAGGCCGGAGCGGAGAAGCCCGGGGGCGGCGGCGGCCTGCCCAGCCCGGCCCAGCCGGTCCCCTAGTCCCTCGGCCGCGCCGCCGCCATGTCCTCCTCGTCCTCATCTCCAGGAGAGCCGTACGAGGAGCGAGAGTACGAGAGCCAGGCCAAGCGCCTCAAGACGGAGGAGGGCGAGATCGACTACTCGGCTGAGGAAGGCGAGAGCCGCCGGGAGCCCGGGCCCCGGGGCGGGGGCGAGGGAAGCGGCCGGAGCTACTCTCAGCCGGTAACAAAGCGCGACGCCCGGCCTCCCCTTCCCTTCCCTCTCGCTCCTGCGCTTCACTCCCCCCGCCCCCCAAAACGGACCCTTCCCGCCCCCCAAACCCTCCCGGAGCGCGAAAGTGCGCCAGGCCGAGCCGGAGCAAGTGCTGTGGGCACGGGTGTCTATCCCCCTCCCCCCACGGGCCGGGGCTTTCTGACCTCGGGATAGGGACTTCAGTGCCGCAATTAATTAATGTATTTTTGGTGCTACCCAGTCGGGGAATGGGTGAGACCGAGGGGGGTGAAGCCTTTGTTACGCTCCTCCGGATCTCTCTGCACTAACAATAAGGGAGACAGTCGTCTCCCTTCTACTCTGTTATCCGCACGATTCATTTTGGGGGTGGAGTGTATGTGTTTGGGGGAAGGGGGGAGAGAATATGTTTGCATACAGCAGCCTCTTTGGTCGAGGTTGAAAAAATGGTTTGCTTCTTGTTGTTGTTGACGTTGACTGTCGAGTGGCCTAATTGCTTTGGTCCTTAGCTGAGGCCCGTATCTAAATGGAAGATCTTGGGCTGGTCCTTTCTCCTCCACTTTCGTTTAGGGGTTCTTATTTTCTTGCATTAATAACTAGCAGCCAGTGCCACAGCTTATCATTGCCGAGTAGAGCCGCCCACAGTTTGGGGTTTGTTTAAGTTTCTAAAGCATAAGGATAGTAATAACTGGTTCTGGTAGAGTCTTTTTTTATGTATATCCTTAAAGTGAAAGGAAACTCAACCATCCGAGTTTGACTATTTCCAAATTTTGCCCCAAAGGAGCTGAGTTTGAATGGTAACCAGCTTTTATACTGTCTTTCTCTTTGGAGGAAAAAAAAGAAAGAAAGAAAAGAAGAAAGAAAAAAAGAAAAAGGAAAAAAAGGCAGTTATTGGAAGAATGAAATAAAAAACGTTTTGGAGACAGATGGTTCCTTAGGAATGTGAGAGTATTTTGAGATGTGTGTAAGAATGATATCTGTTTAATAAGGGAACCATCTTCACCTCATTTTTTCATTGCCTTTTGCTATTTTTGGCTTAATAATCTGCTTTAAAAACGTCCAGCAGTTTCTTAAATTTTGAATTATTTAGCCTCAGACCAAAGTTCCTTTTATGGCATATTTTCAATAAATAAGTGAAAATTTTTCATAATTATTAGCACTTTTGTGTGGAAAACAAATATTTCAGTGAAATAGGCCCTTTCACAGCATCCTCCAACTCTAGTTCACAAATAATGTACATTAACATTTACCTGTTAAAGTTATAGCTGGTTTAACTGAGTATCATTCCGCCCCCACAAATGCTTCATGCCAGAGAAGGTGGTACTGTCTAGTTAAAGCAAAACTTGTATTTTGTGCTGTAATTTTCCAAGTTAAATGCAAATGTGAATAAAGAAAATGGGAGAGGAAATTGATATTTTTGTTTCAACTTAAAGACAACTCCTTTGTCTTTGTAGTGTTCTTTGTTTTCATAATCTTTTAGGTAGTTATTTAAATATATTAGATCACCAGTGTAGCTTTTAGCAGAAGTCTTACTTAGATTATGCTGTAGCAGAATCAGACTATTTTTTGGAAGCCTTGGCAAGAATGATACTCTAATTGAACTTTTCTTGTGGTTAAAAAACTTAGGCAATTTCCTTTTAGAAACTGTTGTAAAAAGACCTATTTAATCATAAAATAGCATTTTAAATAGCCATTCCTCTCTGTATATATGAAGTGGGAAAGAGTGTTAATTTATAATACTGCCTATATATTTTATATGTGTATATATATATATATATATTTTTGAGGAGAGCGAAGACTGACTTTATTTTTGTAGGCAGGTAGACAGTCTTTTATGTGGTTGTGGCAGAGCCATATTCAATTAAACACATAGGAATTGATTTTTCTTAGTACTGTATTTAAATTTCCCCCAGATTTCAAAAAAGATCGGAATGAAATTACATATGTGGAGAGGAAAAATAGTCAATAAAAATGTATTACTGTGAATTGTGTTTCCTTTTTTTTTTTAAAGTTATCTATTGCTTCATTATTTAGAATTATTGTACCTTCAGTTTAAGGGAAGTATGTATGATGAAACCTTATACTTAAAGTATTCAATATAAAGGAGAGAAACCTAATGTAGTAAGCCCTTTAAAATAAACATGAAAAAAGGCCTTTATGGATAATTATAGTTTCCTATGGAATTTACAAGTTTAAAAATTAGAAAGGGCAATAATTTATATTTTTGTTTAGTGATACTTGTTAACGAAACAAAATATGATACCTTTTTAAGGACAGTTTGGTGGTTTTTGTGTTGCTGTGCAAAATGGTCCATTCAGTAAATATCAATAATGAATTGATTATCTTGAATGGGGATGAGAGTTTAAAATGTGGCTGTAATGTAACATTAAGGACAGTTGTAATACGTGTGGGATTGATTGTGGCATTAGGTATACCGTATGTTTCAATTTTGTGATGTATCTTCTGGCACCTAGTCTGAAGTGTCAAAGATTCCTGGATTGTTTAGTTTCACTTGGCTGCTATTGGCTATTGTTGCAAAAGTTTACTATTCAGTAGGATAGAGTTATAATCTTTTTAATAGATTCTATTCTGGGGCAAAAAAGCTTAACTCATATTTGATTTAAAAATTTTAAATTCTAAATTTAGATTTAAATAGTTGAAGATAGAAATATGACTTGAGGTTCTTAACTTCTTAAGGAAGCTTTACAAATTTACTTTGAATTTAGGAACCAGCCCCCGAAGTCAAGAGTCAGAGGAGCTTTCCAGTTTTCAAAGAAAAAAACAAAGGGAGAAGAAAGAGAAAGGGCACCTGTTGTCATAGTTTGTTGTTTCCCAATGTCAGGGACTCAATTAGGAACACAGGGTGGTTTACTGAAGGACCTCGGAAGAGCCTTGGAAAAGACTCAGAGGAAGCACAGAATGTAGCTGGCCTTCCAGGGCCAGATACTGAACGGGTAAAGCCCTATTGGTAGAACCCAAGCTGGAGATGAAGTGGATGTGATAGAGGGTGACTAACCAGCTAGGTCCTCATGATCCCTGAATCCAGGGGTTTATGGATTGCTTTCCAAGTTGTGAGTGAAAAATATGCAGGAAAGTGGATAGCACTTAAGCTTGTAAGAAAGCAGTCTCAGTAACACCATGTGAATACTTTACTGTAACATATCATTTGAGCATCCTGAATGGGTTGATGGGGTTTTCTGGAAGAGATTTAAAGTTTTTGACCATTGGTATCAGAGAAAATTTAGAGAATAATTTTTCTTTTCCTCTTGTATTGGACAGTTAGTAAGCAAGAGAATCACTAAATATAATAGTTTATTGAAGTTATAAAATTAATTAGTGTGAAAACTTGTTTCTTTCTCAGCTCTTTATATATACATATATGTAGATCTGTATATATATATACACATACTTAAAAGAGAAACAGACAAGATAAAGAATTTCAAATATGGGAATGCCCCTTATGTAGAATATGTCACTGCTTGGGTTCAGAGTGTCTAGTACACTTGAATAGGCCTAGGTTGACATAGACATTTACTGCTTGTTGAGATGATAAAGCACGCCAAGAAATCTGGATAGGTATGGAATAGAGATTTTAGTAGAGTTTGTTTTGTTAATCCAGATCTTATTTTTTTTTATTGACAGATTTTTTTTTTGTTGTTGAGGCAGTTGGAGTTAAGTGACTTGCCCAGGGTCACGTAGCTAGTAAGTGTCAAATGTCTGGTCTGAGACTGGATTTGAACTCAGGTCCTCCTGACTAGAACTCTATCCATTGAACCACCTAGATGCCCTAACCTAGATCTTATCGTAAAAGTGCAAAGCCACAGCAACCCTCAACAACTGTGTTTCTGGGAATCCTCCTAGACTGAGGAGTAATTGTTCATCAGTGAGGCCTGATCTGGTTGAGAGTTGGCACCCTCAGGACTGAATCAGCACTGTTCTTCCATGGATGAACTATATTATTGACTGAAGATTACATACCTTTTGAAGAAACAGATAAGAGGTGGTAGCTTGTACAGTTTTGAATTTTACGATCATTATAGATTGTTTAGTGCTTTTTGTAGGAAAAAAATACTCATTTTGAAGAAGTGACTTGAATGCCTTGACTGCTTTTTTCCCCTTTCAGTTCTTGTGCTTTTTGAGGTTAAATATGTCTAAAGCCCTTGGCAAAGAAATTAAGTCTATGTTTTGTCATAGATCAGCTATATTGCTCTTTAAAATCAGCAGGCAGAATAGAATTTGAGTGGCTTCTAATCCTCTATTAAGATACTTCATTCAGTTTAACAAATGTAAGCCTAATGACAAATGTGTGAATTTGTTTTGCCTGATTATGCTTATTTGTTACAAGGATTGCATTTTTCTTTTATTATTTGAAGGTAGAAAGAGGAGAGCTAGCAATTGAGTTGCCTCCTGAAAAGTGAGAAAAGAAAGAAAAGTGGGCCTTTAAAGCATTTAAAAAAATGTGTGTAAGAGAACTGAAGGAAGTTTAGAAGGAAACAGATTAAGTAGGATAGCTTTGAAAGTAACATATTAAACCTGTATACTTAAAAAAAAGAAAAGCTGTGCCAAGAGATTGACATTTTCACATATCATCTTTTTCTTTTCTATAGATATGTTCTTTTTTTCTGTGGGAATGTTCTTTTTTTGGGTGTTCATTAAATTTTGAATACTTTTTTTTCAAAAACCCCCAAATATAGGCTTACCTTGTCTAACTTTGTTCATTGAGACTAGAAAAACACTTTAGGGGAAGTATTTCATAGAGAAAATATAATAAGTGCTGATAGACCAAATGATGTTATATCAGGGTTGTGAGTTTGCATTTATACTTAGAGGAGACAAAGTAAAGAACTTTGCTACATGGTAGTAGCAATAATCTGTCAGGTTAGAATTTGAATCCATATTCCATATTGCTGCCACTGGTTAGTCCTTAGCAGCAGAGTGGGTTGGGGCAAAGGCCAGAGGTAGCAAGACTAATATTGGTAATTAACACAATCTTT